CAGTTGCCTTTGATTTCAACCTTCCTTGGGAAACAGAGCACTGGAAACGAGTGATTTTGTTTGACTTCACTGCCTATTTGATGTCCTTCCTACTGTAATGAAAAAAAGATAAGCCTTAAGGCTGGACTTATTAGGATTAACACGTTATATTTTTCATTACTTTAAAATATAAACACTGCAACACATACCTGTGTGGAGAGTGAACCAGCAGAAGCCTGTCTTCTGCTCCTCTGCCTGTCGCTGCAGCACTGTCTCATAGAGCCGCACGCTATCCTCGTAATTGTCATATACACTGTACATTGTTACACGTAGTATTTCTCCTCCGCAGTGCACCGGTCGAACCCCCCACACAGGCATGCCTGCACCCAAACTATAGAAGTCTCTGCTGGGCAGGAGGTACGGTCGCATCAGGGCATTGGCAGGTGAGCTGCTGGAGGTAATGTGGATCCCTCCAGTTCGGCTCCCGCAGCTCTCAGTATGATGGTACTGCCAGGGCGGACGCTGGAAGAAGTCCAGCACTTTGAGGATTCGCTCCTCTCCATACGCCTCATGGAGGAAGAAGGTGATGGCAAGAGAAGGGTAGCCTGAAACGTTTTTGGCAAAGATTTATTCTCAATCAACCTTAAATAAAAACAGATGATTTCTAGCAAGGGAAGTTCCTTGTATGTTTACACCATACTCAATAAATGCAGTATTCAGTTAGTGGGTCGTTGATGTGAACGGAAAGTTAAAATCGTTTAAATTCCTGTTTACGTGTGTTGTTCTCACATATGGAAATTATTATTATTTTCCTCTACGGAAAAAAATACATCTACAGAATGTTCAATGAGGTTAAATGTACAAGCACAACAGGGTTTTGCATCCCTACCAAGGAAATACCTGACAACCAAATGTATAACAGGAAGTACATATAATAAATGCAAGACCACACAGTAAGGCTCTTTACCTGCCACAGGACAGAGGCGGGTGTAACTTCTGAATGGGGAGGCCCTCTCTGACACATGGAAGATGCGGAGTGTTGGGCAGAGCCAGTGGAGGAGGCGATCAAGGGTGTGCTGCAGCAGCAGTGAGTCTCCAGGGTTGGCCAGCAGATGCAAGTTCATTAGCAGGAGCTGCTGCTGCTGCTTCTGCTGCCTGACCCGAGTGGTCATGAGCGCAACTGGGGTAACACACACACACACACACACACACACACACCAATACACATAAGTGTACAAATATATTTTAGACAAGTGCAAACATGAAGCCATTACAAATGTCTAGTTAGTCAAAGCAGCACTCACCAATTATGCACATCAAGATCAGTTTCGATGTCATGGAGAGTAACGTTATGACTCAGCTTGTCAAAACAGTTGTGTAATGTCTTATTTGGAAAGGTACATTCACATTAAAATGGACAAATTCAAGAATGTGCTTTGTGTTTTAGTGTGATCTCCAGCTGGCTCTGAAAAGAGTTTAACTTTGTTCAATTTTGACCAGTTGGCCAAAACAAACACTGTTGCCCTCCGTTTGGAAATAGAGAAGCCATTATTCATCACCACGACTAGACTCCAAACTGTGTCCTTGCTCTCGTAGACCATTTGCAGTGATGTTTCTGCATAATATTTAGTAATAATAACCCACATTTTCAGCCCTGAAAAGGGACTGAAAGTGGGAAAATTTTGTTCTCTCTGTTATCTTTGGAAACTTCAAATCTTCAAAGTTAGGATCACACACTGTTGGCACAGAGTTTGAAAGATATGGGCATTTACAAGCAGGGTATTGTAATGGGAAATTAGTAAAAATGTTCATGGTTGCAGGTGTCCTGAAATTTTTTTCTTATATTAATACCTATCATTTTTGAAAAGCAATGCTTAAATAGTATATAGTATAGATCAGTCAGGGATTAAGGAATAATATAGTCCAGATTTCTACTGTCGGATCTCACTGACTGTTTACAATTTTAAAGGGTTCTACATACATTTCAGAAGTGGCAGACAAAAATATAATCGAGAAATGTGGCCGTAGAAATGTGTTCAGTAACCTGAATAAAAGACCCTGTTCACAAGTCAGGAAGCGTCAAAATAATTATTGCATTATTGGACGTGTAAACGGCAAATTGAGAAGAGTAAATCTTTTGGTGTTAGTGAAATATGAGTAACAGCAGAGTTAATTATAATTAAAATCCATCCAGGATTTCGCAGGCCTAACCTGAACTGTGCATATTTAAACCAGCTTACCTTCATTCTTTCAGCGCTTGCAATTGACCAAGATGCAACAACCTGTGTCACAGTGATTTGTCTTGTCTAACATCCTCCATGCCATTCTGCCACTCTGTCAGTCAATCACGACTTCCTTTATGATCAACCACCATACTGCATGTTTTTCCTGTTGTTTTATTTCTTTTATCGACAAATGTGAGATGTTGGTATCACACAAGTCTGCTGCAACTTGTAAATAAGGAAGTGACAAGCTGATGTATGACAACATTTTGCGGGAAACGGTGATGATAGTTCAAAGTGGCACTAATTTGTAAAAATTGCAAACTGCACTGAATTGCGATGATTTGTTGAATTAGTTGAATTAGTTGTGATCACGACATCGCAAAATCCTGGAGGGACTTATTTATTATAAAGTACTTATTGCGTCTGAGGAACAAGTGAATGCACAGTGAGCTGTTGGTTGCAATTCGCAATCCTCAGCTCTAGATGCCACTAAAACTTACACACTGAATCTTTAAGAAAAACTAACACTGGTTGGTGTACAGAAGTACTCCAAAAAGAGTAAAAAAGTTAAGGTCAACTCTGACAGTGTTCATTTCGCTATGCTGATTTTACAGTGCAGGATTTGGAGGTTCAGTGCAATCAAAGCAGTGCTTCTTTACCTTGTGTATGAGTGAAGGGATACTTACTGCCAGAGGATGACATCCTGCTGCAGTCAGATCTGAATAAAACAACACAAAACAAAAAGCACATGAGTGATTAGACTTATAACTAGATATAACTTAGACTGGCTGGATGTAAAGACACACATCTGTCTCCATCTTGTGGCGGTCGGTTTGGAAACATGCCCCTTTGCTTTGGTCACCATGACAACACATTATCTGTTGTTAGCTAACACAAAAAGCTCAAAAAGCCAAATTATGAGAAAATACCATAAAGAGTAAAATAGTTACAAAACCATGTCATAAAGTGCTAGGTGGTTTGAAACGTCAGCCTACGTCACAATTTACTGTCCTGGACAAAATTAATTTCCATTGTGGCCAAGGCTAGCTGATGTTAGCCCGGTGCTAGCTGATGTTAGCCAGGAGCTAGCTGACGCTGGGACGAGTTGACTCACTCGGCAGTCTCAGCTCCGGAGTCCACGTTTTCATCGTAGGCCCTCTTTAACACCGCCGCTCTTCCAAACATATCCCGCTATTACACCTTTTACAAGTGGTCGAGCCTCCTGTACAGAGAGTCCGAGCGGTGTGTGCAGCAGTCCGGACAGGGAGTGAAAAGCATCCTGGTTGATTTTTTTTCCCACAGACTGCTCCACAAAAAAAGGGGGACTCTGACGCTGACGTCAACAAGCTACCAAACACCGTTATGTTAAAATAAAGGATCATTTTGGGAGATTAAAAACACTGAAACTGGAGGTGCCCCCGTTCAAGTTGAGAAGAAATGTATGCTGGACTATGTTTGGGAAGTTAGTGAGACTGAAGTTTTGGGGAAAGGGGAGCAGCAGAAGTTGTGCTGCTTTAAATCTAAAGTCGCCTTTAATAACACGGAGCAGATGGCATGCTTCTAACAATATGAGAAGACAAAGGAGACAGTCCAGACGGCCTGGGCAGATTTAAAAGTGCAGGGGACGTAAGGAGGGGGAGGCTCTAAACCCTGAAAATTAAAGACATTGTTTGTTAAGACCTTGTTAAGACCATTACACACCCCTGAACAGATCGCTTTTGGAGCAGGACTATTGGTTTCTGAGGACTGTGAAGTGAAAAGCTCATTTAACTCTAACCTGTGAGATACAAGTACACTCCATTCAGTCTCTGTGTATACCAGCAACAAGTGATGCAGTCTAAAACATCCAAGACTTCAAGAGTTCAATATTAAACAAATAAAAAACACATTATGAAATAGTCACATGGTATGTATCCATGACTTTCTGAAATAATCAAATGTTTAAAACCCAGCTCTTTATGATGACATGTAATTTCATCCTACTCCTTTTATTTCAAACCAACAGTTTTTATTTCAAAAGTATTTTAAATTCATGATGCCACCCTCCACAAAATGTTTTATTTTATACAGCCTCTTTTCATCATGAACAGGTCAAGTTTTTGAAATAGAAATTGCTGTTATGAACTAAAAATGGCATGGAATAAACTGAAAAGAAGCAGGACAAAAGGACATTTGAAAATAATGAGCTGTTTTAAAATGTGTTGGATTATTTAACAGCTTCATGATCTTATTACATAATCTAACAAATTATAAGATTATATCACATTAGGTCTTATTTTTGGATTTTATTTTGAACACCTGGGTTTCGTTTTCTTACAGGGAACAATGCTTATGGGTTTTTTGAACTGTTTTAGAAAAGGTATTAATTCAGCTTTATGGTCACTTTGAAGGCTGCAGTTTGTGTCGTTTTTTAAATTTTGTCCACTCATTTTATGTCAGAGGGTAAAATATTTGGAACACCTCTCAGTATGACGATTTGATACAAAAGCAGCACAAACTATATAGTTGAATTTCCACCTCTAAAACAATTTCAACAAAACTAAACATTTAACTGAGTGTATTTTCTTAGGAAGATTAAGATGGAAAGAAAAAAGTTACACTTCAATCTCAAAATACTGTAGTAAACAACACCCTTCAGAGGCCTACAATGTTCCTCTTGTGAACATGAGGATTTTGACTGTGGCTTACCATTTACATTAAGCTTTAATTATGGTTAGAGAGGCAAGCATTTCTGAAGTTTGCCGAAAGACTTAAAAAAAGAAATCCCATCCCTTGATTTTTTTATTCTACATTTAATATGATGAAAACAAGGCCCTGTACAATCCACCTTCGCAGTGAGTACAATAATTATTTTACAATTTGTACACATTAGAACATCGGTGCTAGACTGGATCCACCCGTTCAAAATGCAGTCGAGAATGACAAAAAAAAATAAATCCTCTTTGAAAGCTGCACCACAAGGGACCTTCTACTTGAAGAGAGGAAATAAATTTATTGGCCGAACATACAGCAGGCCTGAAGTGAAAAATGTGTCATGAGAGACCAAACACCATTTATGGAGCTTTTATGTGTCTTATTCCCGCAACTGATCCATTAGATAAAAGCATGCTGTGAAGCTACAGCTCTTGATCTCTCTAACCATTAGTACAGACCTGGCTGAAATACTGAAAATGGCATTAAATATTTCAGCTGTGAGGTGCACTTAATTCATATCAGACATTAAAACAACCTCAAAAAAACAAAAAACAGACGTACTTGCAACATAAATGAAGCATGTTTTCTCGAGTGTCTCAGAATGTATTTTACTGCTGTTGTAAACCAGGTCTGTACCAGTTAACACTTTGTCCGCTTCTTTAAATTTAAAATCCTCTGGGAGGAAAAGGCCAAGAGTGTCTGTCAACCTGTACAGCCATCACTGTGCCACAAAAACCAAACATAACACATTGACATCAACATTTAAAACAGGGGAGTGAATTCAAATGTTTTCTTGGTCTCCATGTAGCTGCATGTTTGCATTAACTTGTTATCGCTCGTTCTCGACAGCACGTAGTTAATTGGCAAACAGGCTCACCCAATCCTCTCCAAAGGCCACAAGAAACATGATTTTGTACAAAACTAGATCCCCTCCTTCTATTTCTCTCAGCAGAAGAAATCTAATCTAGATAGAAAACTTCCCCATCTTTTGCATTATTTTTTTTTTTTTTTTTACACATTTTCTGGAAGAAAAGTTAAGCTTCCCAGTGTTTCCCAGAATCAATGATGAAAGCACTTCCAAGTTCTTTCAAACGCAGAGCAGTCCATAAAAACTCAATGTTAGCTTTCATTGAATTCACTTGTTTTATGCTACATAAGTGTACACTTTGCGGTCCTCCGGTGTTCGTGCCAAATATTCCCTCTCAATGAGTCCTTCAATGCGCTTCTTGATGACTACTGGACTAGGCAGGAATCGTGCTCGCAACTGCTGCGTGACCTGTGAAGACACCAAACACAGTAATCAGTATATCACAATCCTTTTATATCCAATCATCATCACTCATTCTGAACACCATTATCATCACCTTGTTTTTAACATCTTCTGCTTTTATATAGTCTGTTCATTTTCTACACTAACCTGTCCAATACTGTGGTCAGGTTGTTTTTGAAAGAAAGAGTGCGTAGTCAACAGTTTATTATGCAAGATGTCTTTCATTATGTGTGTGAGGCGTTCAGTTTCAATTTCAGCTTCAGCCTTGCCCTTTGTTTCTTTGCTGAGAACCAGAAGGGCTCACCTTGCTCACCTGAAGGTTAATGACATCCCATTCTTAGTCTGTAGGGTTTAATATGGAGTTGACCCACCCTTTGCAGCTATAACAGCTTCAATGCTTCTGGGAATGCTGTCTACAAGGTTTAGGAGTGTGTTCATGGAAATTTTAGACCATTTTTCTAGAAGTGCATTTGTGAGATTAACCTTAATCCTAACCCATGACTGGAACTGCTCTAGTGTCCAGTGGCGGCGCGCTTCACCCCACTGCATCTGATGCTTTGCATTGCACTTGGCGATGTATGGCTTGGATGCAGCTGCTCGGCCATGGAAACCCATTCCATGAAGCTCTCTACACACTGGCCACATGACGTTTAGAGATCTGTAACTATTGATTCTGCAGAAAGTTTGTGATTTCAGCACATTGTGCTCCTCAGCATGGACTGACCCCGCTCTGTGATTTTATGTGGCCTACCACTTTGTGGCTGAGTTTCTGTTGTTCCCAATCATTTCCACTTTGTTATAATACATCTAACAGTTGTCCGTGGAATATTTAGTAGTGAGGAAATCACAAATAAGACTTATTGCACAGGTGGCAACCTATCAGGTGCCTCGCTTGAATTCACTGAGCTCCTGAGAGCAAGCCATTCTTTCACAAATGTTTGTAGAAGCAGTCTGAATGCCTATGTGCTTGATTTTATACACCTGTACCCATGGAAATGATTGGAACACCTGAATTCAATGATTCGGACGGGTGTCCTATACTGTTGGCAACATAAGTGTCTAACAGACTGTAGTTCTCCTTTAAAATCTTGGCATCTATTTCAGCTGACTGACCTCTGCTACTAGGACGTTGTGCTGCATCTTCTTTCTGGACTTCATGATGCGAACAATGGCAGCTTCGATCTCATGCTTCCTGTCGTCGTCTACTTTCTGCCGCGTCTCCTTCCTCTCCGGGTCTGACTCCCCCTGTTTAGCAGCCACTAGGTGGTGCACAACAAAAGAAAATAGATGTAAAAGACAACACACGTTTCGTCCCTCATCAGTTCAGAACTGAAGAAGTCCTTTGGATGAGGGACGAAACGTCTTCCAGTATCTTCAACCAAGTCCAGTTGCCCTTGATTTTAACCTTCGTTGGATAACTATGACCTGGATGACTGAGAATCTTCATAGACATGTAAAAGACAAGCAGTTAAATGAATACATGTTCATTTCCCAATTAAGTGCTTTCACCTATTTGATTATGATGAAAGGTATGCACATTTAATACTGAATAACATGAGATATAAATATGCCACGACATTTCCTAATTACTTTTCCTGGTCTTTAAGGCTTCATTACAGTTAATTGCTGCAATGTTTTCAACTGTTCTGTATCTTCAGAAAGCAGCAAACCACGATCAACATACATATTGACAATGGATCGGAAATTCTAAATAAAACATTATCTAGGATATGTAAGAAATATAAGACAACACTAAATAGACTCGTGTACCTGTTTGGATCTTGACACGGTGCAGTTTGGAGGTAAACTGGTCATTGACTGTAAACACATGGCCGTTCTCAATCTCCTTGGACTTGGGCTCCTTGGTGAGAACTCTCTGAGTGGGCTTCCCACAGGCCAGAGACTGCAGCGCTCGTACCAGCTCCCTCTCTGGGATGTCCGTCTCCTGCTGGATCTCCTACGGGGTGGAGAAGATCGGGGCCAAGACAAAACAGTAAGCAAGATGTAACAGATAGATTGGCAGGATTATGAAACTTTTGCCTTCTGCTGTTGAAATTTTCCACTATCAATTCACAGGATGTTGTTTGTGTTTTCTGGCACAGAATATTCTTTTTCTTAAATAAGGGGGGAAATGTGGAGGCATTAGATTCTGTACCTCAAAGGTGGACTTCTCTCTGTTGTTGAAAAGCATGAGGATAGTCATCTGGAAGGTGGAGACCTGCAGGATGTGCTTCCTGGTGTTGGAGCCAGTAACTTGGGCTCCTCCTACACCGACCTCTGAGCCATCCTCCTGACGACATGTTGACGACAAAAAAAATCAGAATCTAAAAACGCAATTCAGAAACCCCTTCTACAAGAGAAAGTCCTCAAAAGAGTATATTTCCTTGTTGAAGAGAAAATTTACAGCCTACCAGTGTTAATAACTTTTTTGCATTCTCAGTACTTTCTAACACTTGCAAGGTATTTTTAACAGTACATTTAAAAGTAAAGTTTTATTTAAAGTAGTATCTAATCTTTGGCAACAAAACTAATACTTTGGAAAACTAAAACTGCCCTATTGATATTGCAGGCAAACTTGATTAGCTTGTTATTTTCCATTATAAATTCACATGGCACTATAGATTTGAATGCGTTTGTAAATCAATGCAACACATAAACACATTAGGGCTTATTTGTAAAACTTTTCTATGGCATCATTGTAGCATATACTATTTTAGAAATATTCCATTTGAAGGTGGCACAAACCTTTTTGATGGGACCGTAGAAGGTGGCGTTTAGATCTGCAGAGCCCATATGGTGCTGCAGTGTGAGTTGTCTGCCGCTGTGCTTACCAAGATAAAACC